GCAGGTTCTCATGCTAGTTCTCCTTTACACCGTGTGAAAAATCAGCGTCAGGTTTCAGGCCTTCAGGCTGCTGCTGCTATAGCTACAGCAGAGAGGAGGACGGCGGCCATGATGGCCGAAGCTCAGTCAGTAGATCTGTTTCAGAATGATGAGATCAAGTCAGACGAAGCCACTCCGTGTTTAAATCCGGTTCAGATCTGAAAAAAGCTGCCAGAAAAGAGGATCAAACTCCATCAGATTTGAACAGCTGCACATCTTTGACTCATCAGCTCTCCTTTCTCTGTCTCCGACCTTCATATTGGAGACGTTTTCCTTCATCTGCCGACCAACGTGTTCCCCTTCACAACGCTAAGTTTCCCTCGGCACTGTTGACCATCTGGTCGTCTATAGACGTTCTCTGTTCACTAAAACAAACCTGATCTTAACTCCCAGGATGAGGTTTTGTGTCTCTGGATCATTTCTGTGAAACTTTCTTCCTCCATCCTTCAGAGAAAAACATCCAGCTCTTCTGGATGGGGGAGTTTCTGATTACTAATCTTTTGAAACATACATGGTGATTTTTGTTGTAAATTTGGTATCATTTAGTTATTCAGAGAGTCAAACATCTCTCTGTAATTATGCAATTAAATCTGTTTTAAAACGTTGACTTTCCCTTGATGAAAATCCTCAGTGAGTCTTATTTACATTTTTGCTCATTTTTATTTTTCTCTTCTTCTTTTTCAAACCACATCAAACATGTGGAATCTGGGAGATTTTTTATTTTTTATTTTACAAGAATGATTTTTAAAACATCTAACTCTAACTGATTTTCACTAGTTTGTATGTTGAGGGATGCATTTAAGTTGTAAGGGAAGTAAGCGGAAAGCCAAAAAATGTTGTCATTTTCCTGCAATTAAATCAAATAAACCTCTAAGTTTGAGCAGATTAAAATCCTTTCCTCCTTCTATTTGGTTCAGATGTTGCATCTGTTGCAGCGGCGGCTCGTTTTCCAGCTCAGTGACGGAGGAAGAAGCCGTTCATCCAAATCTCAACACAAAACCTTCTCCACATGTGCTTGCATGCTGCTGCCGCTGTTTGTTTGGAATTCCTCGGATAAATGTGGGAAAACTCAGCCGAGCCGAAACAAATCCCAGTTTTTGGTTTAATCCTTGTAAAATCAAAGGGGAATTTTTGCAGGACTTCACTTGTCTTTGGAATAAAAATCTCTGGAAAAAGTGGAAGAATATTTTAATGCTTAGCCCTCCCTTCCCCTTCATTCCTCAGCACAATCCTGCTTGTGTTTACGAGCCTCAGAGACTCCGCTGCAGAATCTCACCTCGTCCAGGATTATTTGGATTTTCTGCTGCTGGGAGGAACTTTTGCAGTCTGGAACGTTGGTAATGGAAAGAAGAAAGAGACCTAAAAAATGAAGAATGTTCTGATGGAAAAAAATATACAGCAGCTTCAATATATTCTGCATATATTAGGAGGGAGCTCCAGAAAATGCAGTCAGAGATAAATCTACTTTAGGAGAGTTCAAATCAATGCTTTTGGTCAGAAAGACCAAAAACAATAAATTATCAGGTTTTGAAGTGAATTTCAGGGCGCGATTATTTTTAGGGCTGCATTTTGTATCTCACTGGACTCCCATATGCAGATCTTTTTCTGTATATCAACCGAAACACCCGCTGCTTTAAAATGTTGCATTTCAAATTAAATGACAGAAAGGCATGAGATAAAACAGACGTTGCTGGAAAAATAACCAACAAAATGACTTAAATTGCGCTTATATTTTTTATTCAGATTTAATTTAGTTCTTTTTTTTTCATATTTGATTTAATGCTGAATGTTTGACAAACATATCCACCTGCAAACACGTTGTTTTTGTATCGGGTATTAGAGCTTTTACCTGCGTCTTGTTTCTGTTTCTGCTGCTAAACAATGAAAAAAAAAATTCTATTCCAGTTTAGCTCATTTTGCCTTCAGATTGATCTGTACCTCACAGAGGTTCTTATTTATCTACTTAGTTTCATATTTACATAAAATTATATTTATTCACATCTTTCACAGATACAATGAGACATTCATATCTAGTTACAAAGATGATCTTTTACCAACATTTGACTCATAATTTTCTTGAAACCAAGTTTGAATTTCTGAAAACTGATGTGCAGGAATTTATTTTTGTATCTTTTTCATGACAGAAATTAAGATATTTTACACTCTAACTGAGAGATTAAATAAGATTCATTATAATAATCATATTTACAAGACCAGATAAATAAAAGAAAATACGTTTTTACACCCTGAAACACAAATCAGCTTCAGATGAGCTTCCTTTCTGCTGCTGTTTCTGTAAATTTAATTTACATCTTTTTGGTTTGGAGATAAAAACACATTCTTGTTCCAACATGTTGGTAATTGCGATTTGCTTAGTGAAATTTGTCAGAAACCCAAACAGGTTCCGCTTTAAGATTGGATCATTTATCATTTTGCCTTCAGTGAAATCCAAATTCAAACTTCTGATTTCTACAATTTCAGCCGGAAGTTCAGCGCTGTGAGCGCGCATGGTGTGCGCGCAGGGCGCCGTCTTCCGCTGCCATTTAATGATGTCACTTTATTTCTAATTAATTACACACGAGAGCTTGCGCAGCGAATCTGCACGTGCACCCACAATTAACATTCACAACCGGTCACTTGGTGCACCGTGAGTGCGCGCGCTGCGACATAAAAGGAGTTTTAAATTAAACATAAATAAGCGTCACAGAGACAATAATAAAACGATATGTACACCTGTGCAACATCACATCACGCGCGTCCCCGTCTCCATCAGCTGTCAGAGTCCGCCTCGCTTTTAGTCCCGTCCGTTTTCTCCGCTTTTTTGCTCCATTTCTGAGAGTTCTCCGACTCCTCGGAGGAGGAGCGCTTCTGCCGCCTCCACTTGGCGCGCCGGTTCTTGAACCACACCTGCAGGACACAGGAGGCAAGAAGTGAGAAAACTCTGATTTTGATGGCAAAAAATGCAGACTTTAATGTGTTGATTTTCTTGGGATTAAGATTAACGCTTAAAAAAAATGAGATTAAATAATCTTATTTGTTCCCGTTTTATTTATTAATTTATTTTAAATTAATACTATCTATATTGCCTTTGCTTTTTTTCACACTTTCCTTTCCACCGGTAAATATTGTTAACACACTGGGTCTCAATTTCAAGAGAAATTTTAGACAAGAAAAGATACGCATAAAGCAGCGCATAAACTGAAAAGCTTTATTACTGAATCAAATCGCCGAATTTAATATTTATCAAGAGATTATAATTTTGTAAAAATGAATTATCAAATAAATGGACCAGTGATTCAAATAGTTTGAAAAGAAATACATTGGAATGAAGCAAAAAAAAAAATACAAAAAAAGTATTAGTCATAATAATAATAATAATCCACGTTAATTAAACATCAATGTGAGATAAATAATAAATAATAAAATCCTTTATTACGTTCCGCTCTAGGATACTATTATATTTGCATATATACATATCCACCATGCTAATATACTTCTGTAGATATGTATGTAATTTTTACAGTCTGTATTCTTATATTATCTAATTCTGCAACTAAATTTATTTTTAAAACTAAAAATGTTTATTTATTATTATTATTATTATTATTATTATTATTATTATTATTATTATTATTATTATTATTAATAATAATAATAATAATAATAATAATAATAATAATAATAATAATAATAACATTATTATTATTATTATTAGTAGTAGTAGTAGTAGTAATAATAATAATAATAATAATACATAAAAAGAGATAAATGTCTTCCTGATTTCAATCAACATTTAAAAAAGAAAAGAAAACGTGTCTCACCTCGACTTTCTCCTCCCGCAGGTGAACTTTCCGGGCCAACTGCTCCCGCGTCCCCACGTCTGGGTACTTGGTCTCCTGGAAAAGGCCCTCAAGAGCCTCCAGCTGCTCGTCGGTGAAGATGGTTCGATGCCTGCGCTTCCTGCGGCAGTGCAGCTGGTTGAGGAGCTGCAGCTCGGTCCGCGACAGGCTGCCCATGTTCATGTAGGACATCATGTGGTGAGGAACCGGGGACAGGAGCACCGAGGCCGGGCTGTCGTAGCCTGTAAGACCGGGGACAAACTGAAGCGTCTGAGGCGCAGAAATGAGGATATGTCGTAGATGTAACTTGCATAGCTTATGTTTGTCTAATTTTTGTTCATCTTTAAGTTTTTCTGCAGTTTAAAAACTTTTTTCCTGATCTAACAGAACACTGAGGACAACACAAACAACCGAAAACAGAACAGCAGAAATCCGATGAAATTTGAAGTTTTAGCTTAAGAAATCAAAAAAGCGGAATGTTTGCGCATTTAACATCTTCTTGTCTTAAAACACTTCTAAAGTTGTGAAAAGATTAACATATTTGTAAAAGTCAGAGACGATGTTCAGATTTGCTTTTAACGATCATTTTTAAAACTAATACAAGTGAAACAATTCAACAAATGCATATTTATCTTATTTGCGTCACAGGAAAATAGTAATTAACATTTTTGAGAAACATATTTAATTTCTATTAAGCTGAGAATTGAGACCTGTGTAGGGGGGGATACCCTACCTGCGGGGAAGCAGGGGCACTGCTGCGGACTGAGGCCGGGCGCGGCCCCGCAGCAAGGCTGACCTCCTCCGGGCCCCTGGACCTGCAGCTGTCCATAGTAGTAGCCGTTATATCCGATCCTTGCCCCGCTCAAAGCGTGGACCCCCGGCGGGGACGGTCCGCGGGCGGCCGAGTACAGTCCGCTGTAGTCGGTGTAGATCGTGTCCGTGAGGCCGGCGGGCAGCACCACGGGGCCGCTCCGGTGCAGCAGCAGCGGCTCCTTACAGCTCGGCCGTCCGGACAGGATGCTGTCGATGCTAAACATCCCGGCGGGCATCACGCGGCTGCGCGGAGGAGGAAAAACTGGATCAAACTGGGAATCAAAACTCCTGAGGAAGCGGAAAGAAAGTTCAGGCTGAAGGCGACATGGTGACGCGGCTGCGCTCTTCTCTCCTCTGCACGCGCTGCAGAGCCAGCTCCCGTTCAGGATGCGAACTGCTGCGCGCGGGGTTGCTCTTATAGGCCGTGACGTCACGGCGCAAAGGCTGCGTCAGGCCGGGTTGAAGGGCCGCGGGTTTGTGTATTGAGAATTAATTGAATTAAGATAATCCGCAGTGTTTGCAGACTATTGGAAAGGCGCTGTCGGATCACGGAGGCTCTTCCTGTGGAGTAATCCGATTATTTCCCCATCGTCGGAAGCATCAGAGGGAACAGCGTTAGTGCGTGCAGGCCGCCAAACATCAGGAGTTTGGATCATTAAACATGTTTAGATTCGGAGTCAAACTGCAGCTTGCAGGCTATTTCATAGACCTCTTCACAATCCGAATTGACTCTGCTTTTCACACTGAAACAAGATTTTAATCGGCGCCTTCATCTGTTTTTGGGCATATGATCCAAAATGAACCTGATTTCATGTCAGACGCAAACTGCCGCGCATTAAATCTGATATTCCTCTCATTATCCGGCCTCCGCTCTGCTCTCTGTGGGGAATAAGTCAGTCTCCCCCCTTGGCAGCAGTTTCCTCTCCCCCCCCCCTATTCCTTGACCGGGATAAGATAACGGCCCATTATCGCTTCCATTCAGGCCCCTAAAGGAGAACAGATCGGGACTTTACGCAGCTAATTAACACGACCCCGAGGCTGTGCAGGAACGCGGATTCCCGCTGCAGACCTTAATGGAAGCTGTTGATTGCATTTAAGACTCAATGGGGAGTTCACACATGCGCGCGTCAGGCATTCGGATAAACTGATGAGGTGAAAATGTGCCGTTCAGATCCGAGGTGTGATTAACGAAGACGTGCAGTTATGCAGAGATAATTTCAGAGTAATTTAAAATGATAAATAAACTTATTTCACAAACTTTAACCCAGGGAGACGGCTAATTGAACATATCGGAATATTTTCTTTAAGAGCCGCATCTTGGTTAAGTTTACCACGTTTTATTCCAGTAAATGTGTATAAATTAACTGGAATCATACTCTGATTCATGCAGCTCATAATAAACTTGATATATTTCTTTTTTTTTTTTTTTATTTACTCCGCGTAGGATGTTTCATTCGATCTGAGATTTAAAAAAAAAAAACTTATATTTAGATTATAATTTTATTGCCATGAATGCTTTTTCACTTCACCAAGAAGTTAAATGTAATCTAAACATTTGCAACTACAATGGAGGGGGGTAAAGGGTTCAGTATTATCAATTTGCACATTTTTTTATAACTATTTTTATTTTTTATTTATTTTTTATTTTTATTTTTTTCACTGAGTGTAAAGTTTTGTTCAGCCCGTCTTTAACTGGACCCGTCCTCCTACTGAGTGATGAAGCCGTCGGTCGGGTTTTTTTTTTTTTTTTTTTTTTTTTTTTTTTTTGCGACTGAGAGATTAAAACCATATTTACCTCTGCATATGTGCATATTGCAGAAAAATGACCCTGAAAGGAAAACAATATTTACTATCAACTGAACAGATTTTGTTTATTACTCATTTCACCGCAGTTTGCATCAACTGGAGCTCATCTGCAGGAGGAGGTGCGAACACCTTCTCTGGCTTCGGGACAACATTTCATTTCTCTCTGAGCTTAAACTCTAAACTGTTTGTATTTCCATAGCTTCACAAAAACAAATTTTATGCTGATTTGAGAGATTTTCGGAATAAATAAATGGTTTTCATTCAAAAAGGCTCAAGTATTCTTTTTTTTTCCCTCCCCTACAATCTACGAAGAAAAAAGATTTTTATATACATATTTCCTTTATTTCTGTGATGCAGTCACTCTGTGATTGCAGTCGTCTGCATGCTGTTATTATTTTTTCGCATTTATTCTTACACTTTGCTGCAGAGAGGTAGCGAGAAGAATAAAGGATTTCTGCAAAACCAAACGTGTGTTTGACATGAAAAGCAACAGAATAGAAACATCACAGAACAGCCAGATAGATAGATAGATAGATAGATAGATAGATAGATAGATAGATAGATAGATAGATAGATAGATAGATAGATAGATAGATTTCTCCTCATATGTTCTAGGTGTGTATTTGAAAGGAGACATAAAGCGGACTAATCTGTTTTAATCCCATCTACCATCTCTAATACACACGCACACACACACGCACACACCTACGCACACACACACACACACACACACACACGCGCGCGCGCACACACACACCTGCATGTCTCTGGGCTTTTTTTTTCGTTAAATCTATCGGTCTGTGTTCAGACTCTGATCTGTTCCCCACCATAAAAATACCTTTTGCTGCTGCTGCCGCTAAAACCAAACCGCAAAGAGGCTGCTAACTTCACCACAGATTTAATATCTGCTCCGCACATCAAAGACTACAAATACCAGAATATGGTTTCTTTTCAATCTTGAAACAACAGCTTGAACAAAGTTCAGAAAATGATCCTTTTCTGCAGCTGATTTAAAAAAAAAAACTTTTCTTTATTTATTATCTTCGCTATAAAAATTCCAAAGACATGTAAACCCAAAGCTTATACAAACTAATAAATGTAAATGTTGCTTTAAATAATCAATTTCATTCAATCTTATAGTTTAGAATACCTTTTAGGTTTTGCTCAAGAAAGCTTTAAACATAAATTGAACATGGAATCTTATATTTTCTAATTTGAGAAGGTTATTTCTAAATGTTTTATTTAGTTCCAGTGAGCTGAATAAAAAATTAAAGGAGAGAAACCAATAATATAGCCATCAGAGAAAATAGCCAGAGGAACACAAAGTTAAGGCTCTGTTGAGTTCCTTTTTAGTCATTTTGATCTCATCTAGTTCTTCATAAATAAAATTGTTTCTTTTATTAATAAAATTAATTTCATTCTTTCCAACCTGTTCATCATGAAGCAACACATTGTTCAAATGAAAGAACTGTTTCTTTGTTTTGAGCAATCAGATTACCTAAATTGTGACACTATCTGTTTTGTAATTTTGAGGAAATTTGCAATAGAACCATTGATTTTGAACATCTTTTCAGCAATGTCATATGACTGTGTAACGCTATTTTCTTCCAATGAGATAATAAATTGTATGTAAATGAAAATATTGAATCAAATGATCATATTTGACAGGGTTAGTTGGAAGTACTGCTGTATGTTCAACACAAATGTCTTCTCTCTCAAAGGGCTGCAGGATTGCAATTTCCAGAAAGGCCAAAAACCTCAGAGCATCAGCTCATTGAAGATGCTGCTGCAAAGATTTGGATGAAAATATCGTCAGCTTTTCTTCCCTGGTAGAAATGNACATTATTATTATTATTATTAGTAGTAGTAGTAGTAGTAATAATAATAATAATAATAATACATAAAAAGAGATAAATGTCTTCCTGATTTCAATCAACATTTAAAAAAGAAAAGAAAACGTGTCTCACCTCGACTTTCTCCTCCCGCAGGTGAACTTTCCGGGCCAACTGCTCCCGCGTCCCCACGTCTGGGTACTTGGTCTCCTGGAAAAGGCCCTCAAGAGCCTCCAGCTGCTCGTCGGTGAAGATGGTTCGATGCCTGCGCTTCCTGCGGCAGTGCAGCTGGTTGAGGAGCTGCAGCTCGGTCCGCGACAGGCTGCCCATGTTCATGTAGGACATCATGTGGTGAGGAACCGGGGACAGGAGCACCGAGGCCGGGCTGTCGTAGCCTGTAAGACCGGGGACAAACTGAAGCGTCTGAGGCGCAGAAATGAGGATATGTCGTAGATGTAACTTGCATAGCTTATGTTTGTCTAATTTTTGTTCATCTTTAAGTTTTTCTGCAGTTTAAAAACTTTTTTCCTGATCTAACAGAACACTGAGGACAACACAAACAACCGAAAACAGAACAGCAGAAATCCGATGAAATTTGAAGTTTTAGCTTAAGAAATCAAAAAAGCGGAATGTTTGCGCATTTAACATCTTCTTGTCTTAAAACACTTCTAAAGTTGTGAAAAGATTAACATATTTGTAAAAGTCAGAGACGATGTTCAGATTTGCTTTTAACGATCATTTTTAAAACTAATACAAGTGAAACAATTCAACAAATGCATATTTATCTTATTTGCGTCACAGGAAAATAGTAATTAACATTTTTGAGAAACATATTTAATTTCTATTAAGCTGTGAATTGAGAACTGTGTAGGGGGGGATACCCTACCTGCGGGGAAGCAGGGGCACTGCTGCGGACTGAGGCCGGGCACGGCCCCGCAGCAAGGCGGACCTCCTCCGGGCCCCTGGACCTGCAGCTGTCCATAGTAGTAGCCGTTATATCCGATCCTTGCCCCGCTCAAAGCGTGGACCCCCGGCGGGGACGGTCCGCGGGCGGCCGAGTACAGTCCGCTGTAGTCGGTGTAGATCGTGTCCGTGAGGCCGGCGGGCAGCACCACGGGGCCGCTCCGGTGCAGCAGCAGCGGCTCCTTACAGCTCGGCCGTCCGGACAGGATGCTGTCGATGCTAAACATCCCGGCGGGCATCACGCGGCTGCGCGGAGGAGGAAAAACTGGATCAAACTGGGAATCAAAACTCCTGAGGAAGCGGAAAGAAAGTTCAGGCTGAAGGCGACATGGTGACGCGGCTGCGCTCTTCTCTCCTCTGCACGCGCTGCAGAGCCAGCTCCCGTTCAGGATGCGAACTGCTGCGCGCGGGGTTGCTCTTATAGGCCGTGACGTCACGGCGCAAAGGCTGCGTCAGGCCGGGTTGAAGGGCCGCGGGTTTGTGTATTGAGAATTAATTGAATTAAGATAATCCGCAGTGTTTGCAGACTATTGGAAAGGCGCTGTCGGATCACGGAGGCTCTTCCTGTGGAGTAATCCGATTATTTCCCCATCGTCGGAAGCATCAGAGGGAACAGCGTTAGTGCGTGCAGGCCGCCAAACATCAGGAGTTTGGATCATTAAACATGTTTAGATTCGGAGTCAAACTGCAGCTTGCAGGCTATTTCATAGACCTCTTCACAATCCGAATTGACTCTGCTTTTCACACTGAAACAAGATTTTAATCGGCGCCTTCATCTGTTTTTGGGCATATGATCCAAAATGAACCTGATTTCATGTCAGACGCAAACTGCCGCGCATTAAATCTGATATTCCTCTCATTATCCGGCCTCCGCTCTGCTCTCTGTGGGGAATAAGTCAGTCTCCCCCCTTGGCAGCAGTTTCCTCTCCCCCCCCCCTATTCCTTGACCGGGATAAGATAACGGCCCATTATCGCTTCCATTCAGGCCCCTAAAGGAGAACAGATCGGGACTTTACGCAGCTAATTAACACGACCCCGAGGCTGTGCAGGAACGCGGATTCCCGCTGCAGACCTTAATGGAAGCTGTTGATTGCATTTAAGACTCAATGGGGAGTTCACACATGCGCGCGTCAGGCATTCGGATAAACTGATGAGGTGAAAATGTGCCGTTCAGATCCGAGGTGTGATTAACGAAGACGTGCAGTTATGCAGAGATCATTTCCGAGTGATTTAAAATGATAAATAAACTTATTTCACAAACTTTAACCCAGGGAGACGGCTAATTGAACATATCGGAATATTTTCTTTAAGAGCCGCATCTTGGTTAAGTTTACCACGTTTTATTCCAGTAAATGTGTATAAATTAACTGGAATCATACTCTGATTCATGCAGCTCATAATAAACTTGATATATTTCTTTTTTTTTTTTTTTATTTACTCCGCGTAGGATGTTTCATTCGATCTGAGATTTAAAAAAAAAAAACTTATATTTAGATTATAATTTTATTGCCATGAATGCTTTTTCACTTCACCAAGAAGTTAAATGTAATCTAAACATTTGCAACTACAATGGAGGGGGGTAAAGGGTTCAGTATTATCAATTTGCACATTTTTTTATAACTATTTTTATTTTTTATTTATTTTTTATTTTTATTTTTTTCACTGAGTGTAAAGTTTTGTTCAGCCCGTCTTTAACTGGACCCGTCCTCCTACTGAGTGATGAAGCCGTCGGTCGGGTTTTTTTTTTTTTTTTTTTTTGCGACTGAGAGATTAAAACCATATTTACCTCTGCATATGTGCATATTGCAGAAAAATGACCCTGAAAGGAAAACAATATTTACTATCAACTGAACAGATTTTGTTTATTACTCATTTCACCGCAGTTTGCATCAACTGGAGCTCATCTGCAGGAGGAGGTGCGAACACCTTCTCTGGCTTCGGGACAACATTTCATTTCTCTCTGAGCTTAAACTCTAAACTGTTTGTATTTCCATAGCTTCACAAAAACAAATTTTATGCTGATTTGAGAGATTTTCGGAATAAATAAATGGTTTTCATTCAAAAAGGCTCAAGTATTCTTTTTTTTTCCCTCCCCTACAATCTACGAAGAAAAAAGATTTTTATATACATATTTCCTTTATTTCTGTGATGCAGTCACTCTGTGATTGCAGTCGTCTGCATGCTGTTATTATTTTTTCGCATTTATTCTTACACTTTGCTGCAGAGAGGTAGCGAGAAGAATAAAGGATTTCTGCAAAACCAAACGTGTGTTTGACATGAAAAGCAACAGAATAGAAACATCACAGAACAGCCAGATAGATAGATAGATAGATAGATAGATAGATAGATAGATAGATAGATAGATAGATAGATAGATAGATAGATAGATAGATAGATAGATAGATAGATTTCTCCTCATATGTTCTAGGTGTGTATTTGAAAGGAGACATAAAGCGGACTAATCTGTTTTAATCCCATCTACCATCTCTAATACACACGCACACACACACGCACACACCTACGCACACACACACACACACACACACACGCGCGCGCGCACACACACACCTGCATGTCTCTGGGCTTTTTTTTTCGTTAAATCTATCGGTCTGTGTTCAGACTCTGATCTGTTCCCCACCATAAAAATACCTTTTGCTGCTGCTGCCGCTAAAACCAAACCGCAAAGAGGCTGCTAACTTCACCACAGATTTAATATCTGCTCCGCACATCAAAGACTACAAATACCAGAATATGGTTTCTTTTCAATCTTGAAACAACAGCTTGAACAAAGTTCAGAAAATGATCCTTTTCTGCAGCTGATTTAAAAAAAAAAACTTTTCTTTATTTATTATCTTCGCTATAAAAATTCCAAAGACATGTAAACCCAAAGCTTATACAAACTAATAAATGTAAATGTTGCTTTAAATAATCAATTTCATTCAATCTTATAGTTTAGAATACCTTTTAGGTTTTGCTCAAGAAAGCTTTAAACATAAATTGAACATGGAATCTTATATTTTCTAATTTGAGAAGGTTATTTCTAAATGTTTTATTTAGTTCCAGTGAGCTGAATAAAAAATTAAAGGAGAGAAACCAATAATATAGCCATCAGAGAAAATAGCCAGAGGAACACAAAGTTAAGGCTCTGTTGAGTTCCTTTTTAGTCATTTTGATCTCATCTAGTTCTTCATAAATAAAATTGTTTCTTTTATTAATAAAATTAATTTCATTCTTTCCAACCTGTTCATCATGAAGCAACACATTGTTCAAATGAAAGAACTGTTTCTTTGTTTTGAGCAATCAGATTACCTAAATTGTGACACTATCTGTTTTGTAATTTTGAGGAAATTTGCAATAGAACCATTGATTTTGAACATCTTTTCAGCAATGTCATATGACTGTGTAACGCTATTTTCTTCCAATGAGATAATAAATTGTATGTAAATGAAAATATTGAATCAAATGATCATATTTGACAGGGTTAGTTGGAAGTACTGCTGTATGTTCAACACAAATGTCTTCTCTCTCAAAGGGCTGCAGGATTGCAATTTCCAGAAAGGCCAAAAACCTCAGAGCATCAGCTCATTGAAGATGCTGCTGCAAAGATTTGGATGAAAATATCGTCAGCTTTTCTTCCCTGGTAGAAATGAAGTTCTTCTTTCATATGAAGATCTTAATAACAAGTGTCCACCTTTTATTTAAAAATTCATACCTGCACATATTCCTGATTGAGGAGCACAGCTTTCAAAACTAGAGAAGATGGTCGATTAATATGTAATCAATATTCAAACCAAAATGTGTGTTTTTTTTTTTTACATCAAATGATGGTGTTTGTTCTGAAAATCAAAAAAACAAAACAACTTCCTTCAGCTTCATCCAATAGATCACAACATGTTTGCAAAGCCTGCTGGGATTTGTATTCTTTCCAGAAAACTCTGGACCCGCCCAGGGATTCTGTCCCTGGAAAACCATGAACGACTCCAGGTGAATCATTTCAATGTGAAAAAACAGCAGCTTTACTCTGAGGGAACCGGTGTGGTGATCCAGGAGAGACACGCACATAGCTCTGCTGATCAAATTCATGTTTACACAGATGCACTGAGCAGCTCTAAAGGAGAACATCATCGAAATATATCACAATAGAGATGATTACTTTCTTTGGATACTGAAAGTCTGTACAAAGCAACAAGAGGCTACACTATGTACTAAGGTAATGAGGTTATTTATGCATAAATGTCTTTATTATACTTTGTATGTTAACATCTGTTTTGAAGAATTCAGAGTCAGTTCTCTGTCTTAAAACAGCTTCTCATCATAATGCTTCCACCACCGTGCTCCACAGGTCACTTTGAGACCACCAAACACACTTCTGGTCACTGTGGCCAAACAACTCCACTTTTGATATCAAGTCAAATGATATCCGACCCGTTCGAATGGACAGCAGCTAATGTCAATCAGCTTTTTAATGCTTTGATTTCAAAGTGAAAACTTTTTTTTTCATCTGTGTCGTTTTTAAATTGGCTTTACTGGAGGGAGTGGCATTGTTGTTCCTACAGTTTCCAGTTCCCTCTGAGTTTGATTCTTGGGGGTCCCTGTGGTGCCTTTGAGCTTTTGTTTCACCTGAGAGGGACAGTTTAGTTCAAATGGTTGAAACTTGTATAAAAAAAGGTCTCTGATACGTCCAACCTCAATTCCTATTGGCATCATTCAAACAACGCCACAAAGTCAGAAAACAAACCAGTGTTAACTAATTCTACCAAAATGAATGGGCAAATGTTTAACTGAGCAGCATTTTACCAAACTTGTGAGAATGTATTCATATATTTGGGGCTTTAGGTGTAATTCTAAATTTGAACTTGAGTGCCCATTTATCGTTTTTAATAATCATTGCTGTTGTCTGCTGAGTAAGCTTTTCAGCAGGTCAAATAAATCATCAAAAGCACCAAATAAAATGATATCGTTGCCTGTAATGATTGGATCTAAACATTTTAGTGGGACTGGACAGGCCTCCTGTCAATCACATTAGCAGAGAAAAGCTGTAACTACACCAACATTCAGGAAAGCAGAATACCAAAAGCAAAACTTATTCATTCATGCAAGGGAAAAACATGCAAACGCCACACAGAGGGGCTTTGATGTGAAGATCTAATCTAGAAATAAATCCCTTTTAAACATATTTTTCCCTTCATGTTAAAGACATAGATATTTGTTGGGGGTTTGAACTGATTTAAAACCAGTTTCAGTTATTTCAGGCCTAATCCTGGCTGGGAGTGTGGGGGAGCTGGGGGAAATGCAGCGAAAACATCCAAAAACAGGAGGTGGAGTGTAAAAAGTGTCCACATCAATGACAGGGGATTGCAGAGTTAAAACCTGGCT